AGCCACTGCTTGCAACCTTAGTCCTGTATTCACTATTTATGTGAGACTGGGGGAGGGGGATCTTACAGGCTGGGCAGGTGGCATCTGTCCAGGCATAAGCTGCTGTGGGGGCATGGCCCCTGGTGGGATCTGGCCAGGTGCGAGGCCCGGCGGCGGGATCATGCCAGGGGGCGGCATGTACGGCGGCTGGCCCGGCATGTGGTGCATGATCCGGGGTGCCTGAGTCATCGGAGGCATGCCCTGTGGAGAAGGAAAGCAGGCCTGACTCGCTGCAAAAAGGAGAGGGCGTGATGATGATGTAGACAGCAGGCAGAGGAGAAGAAGCCACTAAAGGAAATCCAGGGCTTGAGAAACACAAGAAGGAAAGACACAGACTCAGGAAGAGATGAAAAAGGCACCCAACGAGAGCCAAATGGAGCAGAACAAACCCAGGGTCAAGGGGGACATTAAATCAGAAAGAAAAAAAAAATTAAAAATATAAAATTTAAAGTGTGACCCAAATTTGTTTATAGATACATGAACACAAAATATAAAGACTAAAGGAAAAAAAGTCAAAACGTTAATAACTGTTAATCCAAGGGCTGGAAATACACACTGTAATGAGCATGCTGTATTTTTGCTTCTAAAAATAAACTTGAAGGAAAAAACCAAAAATCAAAAAGAGACTCAGAGAGCTACGGAGAAAAAAAGCAAGACTGGAGGGCGGAGATGGAAAGGGACAGTCAAGGCAGGTACAGAAGGAAATGGGTGGCAGTGAAGGAGGGAAGACAGCCCAGTGGCAGGCAGCAAAGATGGGGCTGGAACCACAATCTGAAGAGAGGAAAGTGGGCGGAAAGCTGCGTGCCAAGGAGGAGCAATAGTGCCGGGGAGGACCGTTAATGATGGGGAGAGCAGAAAGAAGCCCAGACACCCTCACTGACTGCAGACAAAGTGTGAGTGGCATCAGATACAGCATGACCCAGTCAGAGAGCCATAAGACTCATGAGAGCCAGAGACATGGAGGCTTGGGACGGAAGGAGTGGTGCCTTCATCACACATTAAGTAACTGTATGTGTGTAACTGTTTCTAGACTCTTCATCCTCCCCCCTTTTTTGTTGGACTTATTCCTCGGTGCTATTTTTCAATGTGACGTCTACTTGTTTGTTACCAATATACAGAAATAAAGCTGATTTTTTTCCATATTGACCTTACATCAAGTGACCTTTCTAAACTGCATTTACTTACTAATCCTAACAGTTGGTTAAGTAAATTCTCCTGGGTTTTCTACATAGCCATTGACTTAAAACAGAGACAGACAAAAAAAAAAAAACAGAGAAAGAGAAACCAAGAGACAGACATGGGAAAACAAAGCCCTAGAGAAACAGGCAGACAAGAACAGGTATTTCAAGAGGAAACACCATCATCCAGGTGATCAACCCACTCAAGAGAGAGAAAGGATGGAATGGGAAAGAGTCTGAATCCCCAAATCCTCAAGCCAGGCCACATGGCTGAGGAAGGCCTGCTGGTAAGAGGGGCGGGCTCTGGGCCCTGGCTTACCGGGACAGGCCCCTGGACAGCCCCCACCACGGGGGCAGCTGCCCCACCCTGCACGGCCTTCTTGGCTGCTGGGGTCTCCTGGCTCTTGGGCTTCCTCTTCTCCCGCTTCCGGTCCCGTTCCACGAAGGTGCCCTTCATCTTAGCAATGATATCCGAGTCAGTCTTGGCATACTGGATGCGCTACCAAAAAGAGAACAGAAGAGTTAAGAGAGTGGGGGAAAAGCAAGGGAAAGGGACAACACAGAAAGTTGTATGGTCATCATTCCTAAAAGCCAATTGCTAAGATATCCCAGAAAGTCAACTGGAAGATGAGGCAATCCTGAGCTTGTATACCCAGAGGTGACAACAGGCTGGAGTCAACACTGTCCTCTCTAGGTAGCTCAACTGTCCCTGGGGCCCACTGCCTCCTACATGATTTGCCTCCATGTGGAAGTGACCTGCCTGGGACCTGCACAGACTGAGACTTGCTGTCATCTCCCCCAGAGAGCTGGGTCAGGGAAGTATATTCCAATCAGGTAAAACTCAAAAACTGAGTAGGGGAGTAAGTAAGAGAGAAGAACCACATAAAGAACCAAAGATGCCGGCCAGTGATATGATAGGAACTCTAGATCAGGGGGATCTAGAGCCCCCTGATCTTTAAGCCACTTAAAGTGGATCTTTAAGCCACTCCTCATTTCCCACAGACTACAGTCCCCTTGGGCTATTGAACATCTGCACCTGGCCATTGGCCCAACCCCTCCCCCACCTGGGAGCCTGATCCAGGCATACCTTGGTGACTGGACCCTAAACCCCAACCCCCTAAGCCAGGCCCACCCAGTCTCCTATGGCATTTTGCACACATGCACAACCTCCGCACCCACAATGCTCACCATGGGTTTGTCGTAAAAGGGGAAACCCTGCATGGAGCGCAGGGCATTAGTGGCACTGCTGACCTCCTTGAAGATGACGAAAGCCTGGCCCCTCATCTTCAGGCTACGTGACACCAGGATATCCAGGATCTGGCCAAACTGGGAGAATATGGCATACAGGGACTTCTTCAGCTCTGCAGGGGAGGAAGAAAAGACTGACAGGTGACCAGAGGCCTTGCCATCATGTCCTGGGGCTTAAACACCCCATCTCAGAGGATGTGCGGCCCAGAGGGAGATCATTGGCCACTTGACAGAGTATCCAGAATGCTGCACTGGGTCAGTAATCTCTCAAGACCTAACAATAGCACCAGCCAAGAACCACTCAAGTTGCCAAGTATACTCTTCTGTAAGGTAAGGATGGTAACAGTACCTACCCCACAGAGTTGCCATACAAAGATCATCAGTACTTATGTGCAAAGGGCTCAGGAACGGCACCTGGCACATAGTAAACACTAAGTGCCTCTTTTCATTGCCACCAGCACCTCGACACAGGCCTGTGTAATGTGACCGTGGCAGACTTCCCTGACCTTATCTCTGCCCACACTCCTGAGTCTCCAGCCACACTGGCCTCCCAGCCCTCTCAGGCCCAACACAATCCTGCCCCAGGGCCTTTGCACTGGCTGCTCCCTCTACCCGGAGCACCCCCAGGATGAAGTCCAATGCCTCATGGCCACAAACCACCACTCACTGGAAGCTACTTTATGATTCACAAGGCACTAGGCCTCAGGCCCACAAAACTACTTATAATGTTCAGACTGCCCCAAGCTCTTTTTTATTTTTATTTATTTATTTATTTATTTTTTTGGAGACAGAGTCTCACTCTGTTGCCCAGGCTAGAGTGAGTGCCATGGCTTCAGCCTTGCTCACAGCAACCTCAAACTCCTGGGCTCAGGCGATCCTCCTGCCTCAGCCTCCCCAGTAGCTGGGACTACAGGCATGTGCCACCATGCCCGGCTCATTTTTTCTATATATATTAGTTGGCCAATTAATTTCTTTCTATTTATAGTAGAGACGGGTCTCGCTCTTGCTCAGGCTGGTTTCGAACTCCTGACCTCGAGCAATCCGCCCGCCTCGGCCTCCCAGAGTGCTAGGATTACAGGTGTGGGCCACCGCACCCACTGCGCCTGGCCTGCCCCAGGCTCTTTTGATCCTAAATCTTTGCACATGTTGGCCCAAGTTAGGAATGCTCTTCACCCTCACTGTAAGATACATATTGCTTCCTCCACATGGCTTTCCAAAATGTCTTCTTTTCCATGAAGCTGAATGAATCCCTGTCCTTCTAAGTTCCCAATCCCAGCCCTGACCACTGTAGGCTGTCACTGTCAGACAGAACCAGAGTTCTCAGTTACCAGTGTGTCCCGAGCACTGCCCAGTACTGGCCAGGCACCATACTCTAAAATCATATGTAAAAGTTACATTCCTAGTTCTGTTTTCCTCACCAGCAACTTTATCGATAACTACAAACTTAATCCCAGCAAGCTCTTTTAGTTCTCCTGAGAATTTTCTTGAGATGGTAACAAAAGCTAATATTTACCTACCCCTTACTAAATGGCAGGTACCATAAAAAGCACTGCATGGAGGTTTCAATAATTTAATCCCCCCACAAGGTCCATGCAAAGAAGGTATTATGATTTAGCCCAGTTTTCAGATACAGAAAATGAGATTCAACAAACGTGATAATTTACTCAAGAAATGGAAGAGCCTTTAAGATTTCAACAATTCAGTTCTTAAGCAGAATTCCATACCAGTGGCATCAACCACTTTCCTTGCTATGTGACCTTGGGCAAGTCCCATCACCTTGAGTCTCAATTTCCTGAGAAGTGGGAATTACAATAGCTGCTTCCTACAGACTTCTTGTGAGAATTAAATGTAACCGAAATTTATATAAAAATGCATAGATCAGCCCATGGTACAGAGTGTTCGTCATCATTATTGGACATTTTCATTGTGGGCTTATCACTGAGAACGCCAATGATCAAGAAAGCCCCAGTTCCTCATAGACCTCACAGGCCACTGGGTGGAGAGGGACCCGTGAGAGCCCAGAGATCAGGGCTTGATGAGGAATGCCCACGGCCTATGGTTAGCCAGAGGCAGCCACTTGAGGGAAGAGGGAATGGGGAAGGCTCCCTGGAGGAGGGGGTCCTGTGAGCGGAAACCTGGAAGGATGAGCTACAGTGACCACGTTAAAGTGCACAGTGTAAGATGAACTAGGGGAATGTTGAAGACCGAGGGAGCAGCATGTGCAAAGGTCAAGGGGTTAACTAAAACAGTCCGGCTGGATGAAAAGGCCGAGAAAGTGAGACGGATGCAGCGGGTGGAAAAGGGGCCAGCTCGTGCGGGAAAGCCTGGAGTCTTCTAGACTATCCCGAGCACTCACCATCCTTCTTGATCTTCTCATTGAGGTTGTTGATATAAATAGAGTGGTTGGGACGGGTCTCAGGAACTGCCATGGAGCGAAGTGCCGAGGTAGGGCTTAAAGAAAGAAAAAGGTGACTTTAGCCCTAGGTTTCTCCAAATCCTTTGTCTCAACCTGGCTTAAAGGGCTGCTCAAAGATCTTCCCCCGCAAGAGGAAGTCAGGTAAGACGGGACCGAGGTAAAGAACGCAGGCACCGCTCGGGCAACAAAGCGTGCGTAAGACCCCGCTTCCCCCGCGCGCGTGCCGAGGGAAATCTCGAGAGGTTTACTACGAGCCCCAGAATGCTCTACGCAACTCCGAAGGCGGAGCGTCCTGAATGGCGAGTCCCATTGGCCCACACGCCCAAAGGGAGAAAAAACCCGGATGTAAGAACCAGTTAAAGAAGGTGGGACAAGTTTCGGGTGCCCTGGCCTCGCGCAGCGAGTTTCTCCAGACGAGGGGCGGGGAGGCTCGGATGTCAAGCGCACCCACCGCCCGACGCCGACGGTCGCCTGCACCCGAGGTCACTAACGAACGGCGCCACAGTTCACGAAAGCTGCTCCTGCTTCCTTCTGGAGACCAGACCACAAAGCTTTCTCTCCTAGCCTCACCTTTGCTTTTCTGCAAGCCAATCCCCGCGCGGAAAATGAATAGTTTGACCAATCGGAGCAAATCTCGTTCCTGGGCTCAGATCTGGCCAATCAAAACGACACTTGGGCTCCCGCCTAAGCAGAAAAACCCGCCCCACTTCCTGCAAGCACCCTCCTACAGCCACTCCCAGACCTACGGACCAATCAGTGATGGTCACGAGTTTCTTGCCAATCGGGATGCAGCTCGTACTGCCGTCTCTTCCGGAGGCAGTCCTTTGGAAGCCACACCTCTTCCCCGCCGCCCAGCATTTCTGTCACGTGATGGCTAAGGGGGCGGGCACGTGTTGCGAGTGCTACCACGTGACATGAGAAAGGTGGTGTGTGTGGGTCGCCATTTTGCGGGACAGGGAGGCGCGTCTTATTTCCTGACTCTTTTCTCTCTTTTCCAGCGCTTATCGCGGCTCCCTCCAGCCTCGGATATCAGAGTTTTCTACAACCACCAGACTTTTCCTGTTCTGTGATTCCAGGATCTTCTCCACAACTAGGCCATTTCCCTGCCGGTTGTCATTTTTGACCTCTGACTCAAAGGTCAGCTCAAAGGTTCCAAACTGGGGCTTGGGATGTCAGGGGGTACAAAACCTGAATTCCCTAAATCTTTAGCCATGGGCCCCTAAGTCTCACCCTTTAGGTCCCTCACTCCAGATCTTCATATCCACAAATTGACCCACAAGTTCCCAAATCTAGCCCCAGATAATGAGTTAACTTCTAGTAAGTCCTACTACATTTCCCTCTGTAAACCTCCCAACGCACCCCAAGTTAATACCACAAATGTGATTCCGAATTTTAGGACTCCACCCTGTGAACTAACTCTTTGATCCTGCATGACTTGAGTCAGTCCCATTGCCTGCATCTATGGTTTCAAATTTTAGCACTGGCTCTTTCACACCCACTGCTTAGCCGCCAAATTCTGGAACTCAGCCCTAAAACCTTTAAAATCTCCATCCCTGAGACCAACCCCATTTGAAGGATCCTTCCCTCTCCCATTCTCAACCCTTCAGTTCCTCCCGTAGACTTCAAAATGACTTCTCCATGTTCTCCCCTAGAACCACCAATCTCTCCTCAAAGAGCTCCTGCACCCAAAGCCCCCATCATTCCACCTCCTCCCCTACCCCTAAGCCCTCCAGACTCAGGTTTTCCACCCTCTCCCTGGAGTCTCCAGGCCCCTATTCCCCCACCCCCTCCACCGCTGCCTCTACCCCCTGCCAAGGGGACAGCTCCCCCTCATGTCTTCGGCCTGGAGAAGAGCCAGCTCCTGAAGGAGGCTTTGGAGAAGGCTGGCCCAGTCCCCAGGGGCAAAGAAGATGTGAAGAGGCTCCTGAAGCTGCACAAGGACCGGTAGGGTTTCCATTACCCACCCCATCCACCCAGGGTCTCACCCAGTCACCTCTCCCTAGATCACTCAAGCCATCTCTTGGAGTTTCTTGTTTCCTCAAGGTCAAACAGGTTGACTGCTTCAGTCCCCTACCTGGTCCCCTTCAGTGGTGGCATTCCTCCAGCAATGAGAGCTGCCGTCACAAGTGCCTAGTCCAGTGGGGGAAGCAGACCCTCCACCCCACCACACAGTGACAGCCAAGAGTGGTTCAGGACTGTTGTAACAGAGCCCGGGGGTGGGGGTGGGGGTGGGGTATCTGACCAGCCTGGGGGGCTTCTTGGAGAAGGGGAACCCTGAGTGCTGTTGAGCAAGTCAGGCAAGGGATGTGTGATCAGAGTAAACAGCTTGTGCGGAGTGAAATGAGGACATGTTCTATTCAAGGAACTGCAAATATTTCCTTAACATGAGGAAGTGGCAAAGATGGGGCGGCAAAAGTGGACACGAACCAGCTCACATAGGACATGCTGGGCCATGTGAAGGCAGTGGGGCTGTCCTCAGGGCACTGGGGAGCCATGGAAGGGCTTTGCACAGGGAGGGAAGCTACCTGTGGAAAGTGGCAGTCATCAGATGGGAATCCACAGGCCCAGAGAGGGAGCTGAAGCACCCAGGGACCCAAGCAGGAGAGGAGAGGAGGGTTCTAGACTCCTGCTGGGGCCATGGGGACAAGGTTTAATGATTGCCTGGCTGAAGGGAAGAGAGAGCAGTAATGTACCCAGACTCACAATGAAACTCCACGCTCTCCAGACACATTTATAATCTGCCCTAAATGCACCAACCAAAGTAAGGCAAATTTAATGCAAATAGGAGCCACTGTTATTGCATGCCTAACCTATGTCAGGAAGTATTGTAAATGTTTTTAAGTATTAATTTATTGAATACTTTCAGCAACCCCATGAGGTAGAAGTTATTATTGTCTTATTTTGCCTGTGAGAAAACTGAGGCTCACAGAGATGAAATACTTAGCCACAGTGAAAAGAAAAGGAAGAATCCAGTTTGAACTCTGTAACCAGAGTTCTGTGCTTTTAACCGCAGTTCTATGGTATCATTTCCTTTCGTCAGGAGGGTACCCCAAACTGGGAACCAAAAGCTCTGGGTCATCCCCCCAGCCTTGTCCTCTGTCTAGTCTTGGAATAGGAATAAAAGCACGATCCCTCCTGAGGCCTGGGGGATCGGAATCACCAAAACTGTCTGGGTGGCCTCCGCAGGGTGCAAAGATTTATTATCAAGGTGATCTCTTAGATTGTAATCATGTTATTAATACCTGGTTTTACTCAAGGCTGAGTTAAGAGATCTTTACCCTGTTTAACAGCATGAGAAAGACTTGAGAAAAGAAAAGGTCACAGGAAGAGTTTGGGTATAGAGGTACTCCTTTGAGAAATTTCCCACATAAGCTTTTTTGGCTCCCAGTTGCAAAATCTGCACATCTACCTGTTCTTCACCCTTCAGTAACAGAGAAGGAGCAGGGCGCAGGCAGGCAGAAGGATGATCCCCACTGACCAGATGAGGAAACTGAGGCTCGAGGAGGGGAAGTCAGTGACTGAGCCAGGAGCAGCCCTCTGACCTTAGGACAGCCAGGCCTGTGTTCCTTTCACTGTCCCTGGACACCCTGCCCCCAGCCAGAGCTCAAGGGGGGACTGTTGGAGCTAGTTCCCTTGTGACCCGACTGTGGCTTTTCTTCAGGTTCCGAAGTGACCTGCAGTGGATCCTCTTCTGTGCTGACCTGCCATCCCTCATCCAAGAAGGCCCTCAGTATGTGCCCTCATGTGGGACCCGCACCCCATTGGCTCTGCCTTTGCTGGGCCTCCTGAGGACGGACCTGGGAGGACGCGGGGAGTGGGTGCATCCCAGGCAGCCTGGGGAGGAGGACAGGGAAGGAAAGAGTAAACTTCCCACATCAGGGGCCTGGGTGCAGGTGTGGTAAACAGTTGGAACTAATGAGTGAGCAAGTAAACTCCAGCGAGTGAACAAATGAACCTGGCCCATCTGTCTGACTCCCCTCTGGCACCTACTCCCAGCAAGCCCAGGTGACCTCTCCCCACCCTGCCACCAGCCCTCCAGCCCTGGGCTCAGGCCCTGGCAGTTGTCTCCCACAAATGGGAGTCTGGGCTCCCCACCTGGCCTGGGGGAGGGGAGGAGAACTCCCCCATGGTAGCAAGTCAGTTCCCCTACTCCAGCTTCTAGGGTAAGGGGGGCCCCTGACCTAAGGGTTGAGGGACTGGGCCTGTCTGTCCCCAGGTGTGGGCTGGTGGCCTTGTGGATGGCAGGCACTCTCCTGTTGCCCCCCAGCGGCATCCCCCTGGAGAGACTTGTGCAGGTGGCCATGGAGAGAGGCTACACAGCCCAGGGAGAGATGTTCTGCGGTGAGTTGGGTGGGGAAGGGGCTCATGCCAGGTGCTCTGTTAGCCCTTCACTGGGGGTGGCCAGAGAGGCCAGGTTGGGTGCTGGCAGACTCGAGCCAGCTACCTGGGTTCCAAATCAAGCTCTGCTGCCTCCTCACTGTGGCCGTGGACAAGCAGCTGACCCTCTGCTTGTGTACCGAGCAGTGTACCGAGATGGTTGTGGTAGGGGTTGGAGGCATTGATCCTTGCCTGGCAAGCCCTTGGATGGTGTCAGGCACAGAGCAAGCCCACTGTGTGTGCTGTCACCCTGCAGTGGCCGACATGGGCAGGCTGGCCCAGGAGGTGCTTGGCTGCCAGACCCAGCTGCTCTGCGGTGGCCTAGGTGGTCCCAACAGAGACCTTGTCCTGCAGCACCTTGTCACTGGACACCCCCTGCTCATCCCGTATCCCAGGGCCCATGAGGGAGTAGGGCAGGGTTGGCAGAGGGTGGGTCCCAGGGCCGTGCCACAGTTTTGGCCTTAACACCAGCACCAGCTACGATGAGGACTTTAACCATGAGCCGTGTCAGAGGAAGGGACACAAGGCCCACTGGGCAGTGAGTGCAGGTGGGTCCTTTTTCCTTTGTCCCTGTGCCCCTCACTCTGGGTCTCCCCAGCCAGGCTGTGCACTCTCCAGCAAGGGACCAGAGCTGAGTCATCCTTGTCCCCGCAGGGTTCTTAGCACAGAACCTGGCAGACAGCAGGTGCCTCAGGTGTTTGCACAGACAGAAGCTCAGAGCACAGACTTCAGGATCAGACAGTCTGGGCTCCAGGCCCAGCCCAGCCACTTGCGGGCTCTGTGACTCTGGGCAAGTTTCCTCACCTCTTTGGGCCTCCGTTTCCCCATCTGAAATCCAGGGTGACAGTAGTACCCGCCTACAAGGCTGCCTTATAGGCAGAGCATGTAGACCTCTCAGAGCAGTGCTCAGCATGTGGCGTGTCTCCATGAGCATGATTGACATCGTCGTCATCATTCCTCCTGCCTGAAGGAATCCAGGTTTGCACGTCAGGAGGCCTGAGTGGAGGCTTTCCTGTGAGTCCTTGAGGGCTCTTCTTGGAGCCTCTGTTCCTTAGACAGCCAGAGATGACCCAGTGACAGCATGTGCTCCATCTAATGCTGCCTCTCCGCCTCCCCTGTGCTGACAGGCCAGAGGAGACAGAACTGAAACTGCCTGCAGCTCTGGAGCCAGATGCCCTGGGTCCACATCCCCGGCCAGCCCCGTGCTCACTGGCTCACTGGCTGCTGCTAACTTCTCTGTAACTTGGGGATAGAGGCAGCCCGCGGCCCCAGCCCCCAGAGGACGGGGAGGGGTGGAGTTCAGTGGCCCCAGCACATAGTCATGGCTCAGCCACCTGCCGCTCACTCCCTCCTCCTCTCCCCCAGGAGTCCTGCTGGGTGTGCAGGCTGTGCCAAGCCTCGGCTACGCGGAGGACCCTGAGTTGCCAGGCCTGTTCCACCCAGTGCCCGGCATGCCCTGCCAGCCACCATCCCTGCCAGAGGAAGGCTCCCCGGGAGCTGTCTACCTTCTTTCCAAGCAGGGCAAGAGTTGGCACTACCAGCTGTGGGACTACGACCAGGTCCGGGATAGCAACCTGCAGCTGACAGACTTCTCCCCGTCACGGGCCGCCAACGGTCAGACGTATGTGGTGCCCACTGGCGGGGTGCGGGCTGGCCTCTGCGGCCAGGCCCTGCTGCTCTGGCCACGGGACTCCAACCACCTGCCTGGCTCCATCACCATTTGAAGAGTGCCCCAGCTTCTCCCTATGTGGGACAGGCCATAGGTTGGGACCTGAGGGCCTCCAGCCCAGAGACTGTTCATCAGGGTGGTCCCCGTCCATCTCGTCTCAAGCCTGGGCGTCGTCTCAACTCCCAGGCTTGGGCTCAAATCCCCAAGCCCATCCCCTCCAGTACTGAGCACCCACCGATCCCTCTCTCCAAGGAGAGACTGACAACTAAGACCCCACAACTTGTCCACCTCACCTATGTCACATCCATCTACCTCTCACTGGGAATCACCTTTTCCACAGTCACCTTGCTAGACATCTGCGGGAACCTCCTGCCTGGGCTCTCTGCTGCTCCTCCAGTTTGTTCACAGGACAGGGCCTGAGCTCTCCGAGGCCCAGCTTCTCTCTCCTTAGCCCCGGCTGGTCTTCCACTCTGCCTGCCGGCATTGCTGGCCTTTCGGGTCCCTAGAGCGTCCCTCACGCTCAGCCCTCCGCTAAAGATCACTTTCCAACTTCTCCACCTTGGCTCAGGTATCACTTCCTCAGGGACCCTCAGCCTGTCCAGGCACCCCTTCCCCAACCTTGCGTCTTCTCAGATTTTTAAAGCTCGTCTGAGAGCAGTTGTGTGAGCTACCCTCCACCTGTGTTAACTCATCAGATTCTCCAGCCGTTTAAGGGGGGAACTAGAATCCCTGCATTTGACAGCTGGCAAGACTGAGGCCTGGGGAAGTGGAGTCACTGGCCTGAGGTCATGCAGCTGGCAAGTGGCAGAGTCAGGATTTTTTTTTTTGAGACAGAGTCTCACTCTATTGCCCGGGCTAGAGTGCCGTGACATCAGCCTAGCTCACAGCAACCTCAAACTCCTGGGCTCAAGCAATCCTCCTGCCTTAGCCTCCCCAGTAGCTGGGACTTCAGACATGCACCACCATGCCTGGATAATTTTTTCTATTTTTAGTTGTCCAGCTAATTTTTTTTCTATTTTTTTTTTTTTTAGTAGAGACTAGGTCTTACACTCCTGAGCTCAAGCAATCTTCCACCTTGGCCTCCCAGAGTGCTAGGGTTACAGGCATGAGCCACCGTGCCCAGCCCAGAATCAGGATTTAAACTGGGAGTTAGTGTCTAACCATCAGCCGGGCTGTCTCCTAGCTCCCTGAAGTTCCTTATGGTGCTGATGTGTGTGATTATTAGTTTAATGAGTACCTGTCACCTCCACTCTGAAATAGGAGAACAGGTCTGTCTTGATCACTGCTGTGTCGCCAGTGCCCGCAAAGGATCTCATTTAGGGAAACTACTGTGTAGTGCTTCTAACCCATGAATGAGGTAAGGAATAAGCACGTCCCCTATCCCAAAACCCTGGTACTTTGGTGGCAGTACCCATCTGGTACACTGTCCTGGGAGCCCTGAGGACAGGGCTTGGAGCTGTCACCACTGTGTCCCCTGCACTGTCCAACACAGAGCCAGGCACAAGACTAGCCGCTCAGTGGTGAATGAATGAACCAGCCAACTCTGAGCCTGCCGTTCTGCCATACTGATCATTATTCCAACACCCCCCCAGCACTAATGCTTGAACAACAGATTTGAGCCTGTACACGCCAGATGTGAAAGAAAAAGACTCCACAATGCTGACTTAGAGTGTCATGTTTATTGGGTGTCATCATGGGCAGGAGGCACAGCAATGCCATGTGCCTCCTGCTTCCCCACACCCCCCACCTAACAACTACCTCTTGTATAAATAAGTATAAAGATGGTCAGTAGAAAAGGAGTACGTCTCCTCAGCCCTGGAAGACAGTGTTCGAGCTTTAGCTTAGGGAAGAGGTAGGTGTCTGTCTTTCCCAAGCCTGCTCTTGTGGGCCAGGAAGCCAAAGCTACTAGTGGGACAGATGGGCCATTGACCACACCTCAGAGTTCTGGAGTCTTTGGTTTGGACCAAGCTGTAAGCCTGGGTCACGGCCAGCAGCCCACCCGGTCACCCTGTGCCTTGGGCCCATGCCTGACACGTTTCACGGGGGCCCGTGATGGACTGGGGGCCCCCCTGAGCAAGGCAACTGTGAGTCACAGGAGGACACCTGCTCTCCTTCCCCCAGCCTCCTTTCTGCCATGCAATTTGCTAGGAGGAAGGAGACAGAAAAGCCCAGGGCAGGGCAGAAGGAGGAAGTCTTGAGGCTAGACCTGCGGTACTGAGGAGCCAGGTGATACCGTCACAGTGCTGGGATGTGGCTGTGCTCTGGATCTGCAGGAGGTCAGCAGAGTCCCCCGAGGAGTAGGGAGGATCAGAAGGCCATGGCAGGGCAGAACAACAGGGCACTGTGCCCCACCCAGCGCCATCAGTCCTCCCAAGGTGTCAAACCCTCTGCTGCCCAGTCCTTGAATGGCTCCCAGATGAAGAGTTGGGCTGTCACTCTCCCCAGGTGGACAAGTGGCTCCTGCATTTGTTCACAAACAATGCCTCATTCTCTGGGGCACCAGAGGGGAACCTGACCCAGGCCCTGGCCTTGGGGAGCCAGCTTGCTGCTGGGAGGGGCTGACAAGGAGGCAGGTTACACAGCCGCAGGCACCGTGGCACACCTGACCGCGTGAATTCTGAACTATTTCCTCTCGGGGCAGTGTGGTTTGGCTGTGGCCTCCAGCAGCCCTTGAGAAACCTTGGGGACCTGTTATGATTCTGCTGTCTTACTGTATAAGCCTCATCATGCCCCCTCCCTGGTCCTTCCAGTCCCTGTATCACAAAGGGACCAGATGCTACCTGGTCTCCCAAGGCCTTTGTACGTTGGCATACGACACAACCTCTCCCATCCTTGGGGGTCAGCTTCCCCGTTGCCAACCTCAGGCCCCCATGGCATTTCAGGGCTCCTCCAGCGGACTGGTACCATCTGATAAACCTGGAGACAGCTGAGTGGGTCAACTCTGGGCCAGACCCTGAAGGAGGCGGATCATGTTGTCCAAGCCCCAGAGGTAGCCGTCCTCACGGTTGCCCTCAGCCCAGGGCAGCCTGTGGCTGAGCGTCTGGTGGTCAGGCAGGGCCACCGTCTTGCCAAAGTCGATCATCCAGACGTTGGCCAGGCCGGTGTGGTCGTGCACAAACAGGAGGGAGCTGCCCACCACCTGCAGGGGGAGAGACCAGAGGTGAGGGGGAGGAACAGTGTGGCTGACAGCCAGGCTGCCTGAGTTCAAATCCCGGCTGGCCACTGACTGGCTGTGCAGTCTTTTTTTTTTTTTTTTTTTTTGAGACAGAGCTTGCTTGTTGCCCAGGCTAGAGTGAGTGCCGTGGCGTCAGCCTAGCTCACAGCAACCTCAAACTTCCGGGCTCAAGCAATCCTCCTGCCTCAGCCTCCCGAGTAGCAGGGACTACAGGCATGCACCACCATGCCCGGCTAATTTTTTCTATATATATATTAGTTGGCCAATTAATTTCTTCTATTTATAGTAGAGACGGGGTCTTCTCTTGCCAGGCTGGTTTTGAACTCCTGATCTCAAGCAATCCGCCCCCCCTCGGCCTCCCAGAGTGCTAGGATTACAGGCGTGAGCCACCGCGCCCGGCCTTGGCAAGTGTCTTAACCTCTCTATGGGTCTGCTTCCTCATAAACAAAGTGAGAATAATGCAGTCATTCCCCCAATCTGTGGGTTTACTTTCCGCAGCTTCAGCTGCCCTTGGTCAACCACAGTCCAAAAATGTGGAATGGAAAATTCCAGAAATAAACAATTCATAAGTTTTTGTGTTTTTTTGAGACAGAGTCTTACTCTGTTGCCTGGGCTAGAGGGCTGTGGCGTCAGGCTAGCTCACAGCAACCTCAAACCCCTGGGCTCAAGCGATCCTACTGCCTCAGCCTCCCAAGTAGCTGGGACCACAGGCATGTGTCACCATGCCCGGCTAATTTTTTCTATATATTTTTAGTTGTCCAGCTAATTTCTTTCTATTTTTTTAGTAGAGACAGGGTCTCGCTCTTGCTCAGGCTGGTCTCGAACTCCTGAGCTCAAACGATCCTCCCGCCTCAGACTCCCAGAGTGCTAAGATTACAGGTGAACCACCTCGCCGGGGCCTACAATTCATAAGTTTTAACACATTGACTGCCACACTAGAAAAAAAACTTTTTTCTCTTAAGGCCATGGTGTTTTATTACAAAAATAGAATAAAAACTTCAAAAACAAAACTATCCTTTCTAATTTAATGAAAAATTTGTTATTTTTTTCTTGTTTTTTGTGCATGACTTAATATGCAACTAAATTGTCAGTATTTTTTTTTTTTTTTGAGACAGAGTCTCACTTTGTTGCCCAGGCTAGAGTGAGTGCTGTGGCGTCAGCCTGGCTCACAGCAACCTCAATCTCCTGGGCTCAGCGATCCTCCTGCCTCAGCCTCCCGAGTAGCTGGGACTACAGGCATGCGCCACCATGCCCAGCTAATTTTTTGTATATATATTTTTAGTTGGTCAATTAATTTTTTTCTATTTTTGGTAGAGACGGGGTCTCGCTCAGGCTGGTTTCGAACTCCTGACCTTGAGCAATCCGTCCGCCTCGGCCTCCCAAAGTGCTAGGATTACAGGCGTGAGCCACCGCGCCCGGCCAAATTGTCAGTATTAACTGTAACAATAAGAACATCAACAAGGAAGATTTTCATGAACCAACTACAGGGTTTTGCCTAGGGGCCACCCATGACATAATACGTGTGCTGTAGCATGGCAGCCTGAGTTGTCTGCACACCATGTGGCTCCCAAGATAAAGAGACAAGTGAGTTACATATGTTTCACGAGGCCCCGGGCTCAGAACTAACGTGAGTTAAATATAACTCACAGGGCAGTTAATGTGTTAAGCTGTGCACCATTCTAACTGGCTGGCAGCGCTCCGTGATCCACACACTCCCCAAGTGCCTCGTGGTGCTTGGCACACGGTGAGCCTTCAGTGGATGCTGTCTTTATTTTCATCTAAGTCCAGGATTGTTGGTCCCTCCCTTTTTCTAAGTCAGTTTGCAAACATCACTGCTCCTAGAAAACCCCCATTACCGAGCAGGTCAGCAGGCACCTGTCAGAAGAGATGGACACTGCCCAGCTCTCGATGGCTGTTGGCATTTGGCAAGAGCGTTGCCATGTCTCCCACATCGTCAGAGGAAACTGGAAGCCTGATTTAGGTGTTAAGCCTCACATTTTAAATGGTGGCAACTCAAGTTTTTAAAATGTTAAGTCACCAAATAGGTGAAACCAAACACAAGGACAGAAGAGATGGAGTCCCCAGACTACCTCTTTTTGACTTCTACATAAAGCCTGAAATGAGTGACAAGGATGACAAGGGTGACATTTGATAAAAACAAACATGACAGTAACAGCTGTCACAAACCCATGGTTTGCTATGGGCCAGGCTTTAACTAAAGCAGATGTTGCTGTTACCCGACTCTGTAGGTCGGGAGACTGAGGCCTCCTAGGATGGCTGCCCAGGATGGGCTAGGGAGTGGCAGAGCTGAGGTTGGAACCCAGGTTGGCCTGGCTCCCAGATCCATGCCCTTTCAGAAAAGTCAGCACTATCAGGAAGAAGGGGTGATGGGCTTGAAGGGAAGACAGCCCAGAGAGAGGAGAGGATGCCACCACTGCACAGATTGTCCCACACAGCCTCGGAGAGATGAATGTTTCACAAGAGACAGGCTGGTAGCGTGGGGGAAAGGGAAGGGCAAAAGCCACCAAACAAGGGGCAATGCATAACAATAATTATAAATAACTGTACAATAATTGTAAGAGGTAGGAGTTAAACACGCTCTAGGTGCCAAACGTCGCTCTACGGTCTCACACCTCAGCAGCCCTATGAGTAAAGTACTAATGTTCCTCCCATGTTCAAGAGGGGGAAACTGAGGCACAAGAGTTAGGTAACCCAGCCTTCACTCCCAGGCCGCCTGGACTTGAGTCTATGCTCCCAACTATCACAGCTGCCTGAAAGTCCCTTTGCTGGACCCCAAAATATGAGGCCTTCTTTTCATAGCTTTGGCCCATAACTTTGTCAACGGCCTCCCCTGCGTGACCCCCAGGGCCCTGAATCCCCCCCACATACACCCATGGTGGCCGCAGTTCACACCTCGTGGGTCCTGAAGAAGGGGGAGTTCTCCAGAGCATCACGAAGTTCTTCCAGGCGTGCCACGTACTGTCTCTGCGTGGGAGAGGGAGGGTTCCCCGGTTAGCAGGGACACTGCATGGGCCCTTGTCCCCCTTGACCTCTGGCCTCATCCCGGGCCCCCAAAGGAGTGGGCAGACTCCAGCCAGGATGGGATCGGGGAGCCATCTGGGGAAATTGGGGGCAAGGCGAGTGAGGATTTACCCAGAAGGTACAGACAGTGGATTACACGAATACCCAATCCCATGGACAGGTGGAGTCTGTCTCCCTGTCCCTTTAATCCAGGCTTCCTCGTATGACCCGCTCTGGCCAAAAGAATGTGGGAGAAAGGACAGTGACCATTCTGAGCCTGGCCATCAAGATGCCTTGCATTTGCACTTGCTCTCTTGGTCCTCTGCTTCCACATGAGAACGAGCCCAGGCTAGGCTGCTGGATCATGAGACATGTACGCTCAGATCATGAGCCAAAATGGTGTGCCAACCGGCAGACACATGAGAGAGGCCACTACAGACCAGCCGGCCTTGGCCAAGCCACCAGCTGACTGCAGATTGTGTGAGCAAAGCCAGCTAGTGTTAGCCAAGCCCCACCCATAGCACAAGACCATTGGCTTGGGGGGCAGCGATAAATGCTGATTGTCTTAAGCTGCTACATGTTGGCCCATGGGGTATCCCACTCACCAGGATTCCATAGTCCCCGTCCACAAAGTCCTCCAACACCTTTGTCACCTGTTCCAGCGCCTGCGTCTTCTTGAAGTTGGTGTTGCAGGTCCCATCAGCTTTCTGTGGGGCAAGGGGCGAAGGGGCAGTGTCATGCCTTTTCTTTCCCAGCCCCAATATCCAGCAAGCTCAGGCACCTCCCGGGGCCACCTGCCTGCCTCCACGCTTGCTTGCTGTTCAGAGGAAGCCACCCCACCTGCCCAGTCCAGCTCAACCCAGTCCCAAGCCACGATCCTCAGCAACCAGCCTTCCAGATTCTTCCAATCTTGAAGCTCCAGGTCGAGCCAGTCTAGCAAAGTGGACTTTGGAAGGGCACAGAGCTGGGTTTGAGTAGTGACTCAGCTACTTTCTAGCTGGGCAGTCTTAAGCAAGTCACTTCACCTGCTTCAGCCTCAGTTTCCTCATCTGGAAAATGGGGATCGTGTTGCTCTCTACTTCCTAATGCTGGTGTAGGATTAGGAGAGCGGGTGTGTAGGATGCAGAGCACGGTGCCTGGCACACAGTCAGCACTCAGGAAATGGACTAATGTTATTTTTCATGTTTGAGAGAAGCCACTTAAGTCATTTGGCCACACTGTGCCAGGTGCTACATAGGCATTGGTACTATGGCGGTACCAGGACAGACACAGCCTGACAATGTCTGAGGGAGGCAGACGTCAAATAAGATGGTCACAAAGGAAGGTGTGAATAACGAAGGGGGACAGGGGGCTAACAGGAGGCAAAGAGAGAGCCCTGATCGAGGAGGATGGAAATCAGGGAGAGCTTCCCTGAGGAAGCGAAATATGAAAGGTGAGAGGAAAATGAGAGTTGACCAGGGCAACGGCAGAGGGAATGTGGCAGAGGGACCAGCACGTGCAGAAGCCCTGTGGCAGGAAAACACAGGCCCACTTCCAGGAAGTGAAAGTGCTTCACTGGGCCTGCAGGTAGACAGGAAGGAAGAGGAGTGAGAGCTGAAGCTAGACCCTGGACGGCCCTCTAGGCCATGACACTTCTCCTCAGGGTGCTAGGGAGCCATGGAAGGGTTTTGAACAGGAGAAGGTCATAGTCGATTTGCAACTTAGATGGCTTAGGCGAGGCCATGGGGAAACAGCATCTCGTGCATTGCGGGTGGGATGTGCAATAAAGAAGCTTGGTCATCCCTAGTAAATCACCAGGGCATTTCATCTTTGGCCCAGTAGTCCTACTGCGGGAAATCCAGGCCACAGCTGAACCTACACACTTGCAAAATGTCTTATGTACAAAGTGATTCACTGAGGCATTGTAATGGCAAAAAATGGAAACAACCCATGTGTCCATCTATTGGGGACTGTGGCACCTTCACCAAGAGGGTATTAAACAGCTGTAAACAAAAAAAAAAAAAAAGGAAAGCGGACGCTCTCTATGGAATGTTCTGGAAAACTCTCCAAGATATTACTGGTAAGTGAAAAAAAGAGAGTGCCAATCAGTGTGTAATACTGAGGAAAATTTAGGATATGCAATTGCATTCATTTGTATTTTCAGGAAGAAATGCAAGAAACTGATAAAGTGGTTCCCTGCAAGCTGGCAGGAGGGTGGAGAGACGGAATGGGAAGGGAAGCAGCAGAGTTGGGAGGGAAATTTCTCACTGTATACCTTCTTATAATATTATTTTGACTTGTCAAGTGTGTGACTAGCTAGTCAAACACTTATATTGCTCTTGTGTTGTGGGGAGACCAGGTCCCGGGAGCCCCGAGAAGCTGGGGTAGGAGAAGACGGGGCTGGACTGGGACATGGCCACGGGGAGAGAGAGGAGAAGATGGAATCGGGAGATGCCCGAGCAGATGGAAAAGCAAAACGTGGGCTCTGATGGATGTGGGCAAGACAGAGAAGTGCGACCTCCCTAGCCCTGGCTTTTTCACGCTCTGCGGTCTCCTGTACCCTCTCCAGATCTTGCTGCTTTCCAGCCTTCCCTGATGCCCATGTTCCCCGAGAAACCTCAGACCCAGTTCTGGGCCCTCCTATGACGGGCCAGCTCCTGGCCCTCACCTTGATGCCCTCGATCCGGAAGCCCAGGGTGGAGGTCGAGCTCATGGTTTCCCTCCACTGCATGTAGCGGGGCTTGGTGACCGCACCCTGGGCATGCTCCTCGGGGGTGGGTGCCCCGGGGTCCACAGCCACCATCTTCTCATACATGTCCTTCCGGGGCCTTGGCCGTTCCCGTGCCTTCACCAGCTCCTCCTCCAGGTAGGTCCTGAGCACACAGAGGACGCGACAAAGCAAACTATGAATGACACAGCTGGAGGGCTTCTATTTCCCGATGTCAAGACATACCATAAAGCTACCACGCAGCCCAAGAGTGGACAAATACATCGACGTAATACGAGAGTCCACAAACAGATACACGTGGATGTCCACCCAGCTATGACAAGGAAGGCGCTGCACGTTAGTGGGGAAGGGGAAGTTTTTAAGTAAATGGTACTGGGTCAGTAGGACATCCGTATGGAAAACAATGAACCCCTGTCCCTACCTCCTACCACACACAAAAATTAATTCTAGATGGATCACGGGTCTAAATGTGAAAGTTATAACAGTAAAGCTTGGAGAAGGGAACGTAGGAGAATATCTTCTTGATCTTGGAGCAGACAAGATTTCTTAAACATAAACCCACTGATCATAATGAAAAAATTGACAAACTGGACTAAATTAAAAGTACTTTTGTTCACCAAAAGACACTATTAAAACAGTGGAATGGCCAGGTGCGGTGGCTCAAGCCTGTGATCCTAGCACTCAGGGAGGCTAAGACGGGAGGATCGCTAGAGCTCAGGAGTTCAAGACCATCCTGAGCAAGAGTGAGACCCTGTCTCTACTCAAAATAGAAAAATTAGCTGGGTGTGGTGGCGTGCTTCTGTAGTCCCAGCTACTCAGGAGGCAGGAAGATCACTTGAGCCCAGGAGTTTGAGGTTGCAGTGAGCTAGGAGGATACCATTGCAATCTAGCCTGGGCAGTAGAGCAAGAGCCTGTCTAAAAAAAAAAAAAAAAAAAGGAGTGGAATGGGAGAATTGGAGGAGAATATATACATACATTTTTGTGTGTGTGTGTGTGTGTGTGTGTGTATATATCCAACAAAGGACTTATATCCAGAATACATAAAGGAGTATAGATTTAAAAGGAAAAGCCCAACAGAAAAATGGGCAAAAGATTCAAACAGGCCCTTTTTAAAAGAGAATTTCCAATGGCCAATCAACATATGGAAAGAAGCTCAATTTCTTCAGTCATCAGAGAAACAGAAATTAGAATCACAGTGAAATACCCCTACAAACCTACCAGAATGGTTTAAACTAATAAAACAGATAATACCACGTACTAGTGAGAATATGGAACAACTGAACTCTCATACACAGCTGGTGGGAATGCACACTGGTAAGACTTTGAAAATTGACTATTTTCTAAAGTACTCACCCCCTACCCTCCACCCCTGCCTCACGGCTGCCCCCGACCCCACCTGCTGCCCATCTTGCAGTCCATAATGGAGGGGCCCTCGAAGTCTGCCAGGAGATCTTCCATCTGGTTGAAGGTCTGGCCATCCTGCTGCACCACGCCATAGTAGGTGGGCACAAAAGGCCGCAAGGGGTCTTTCATCAGCTGTTCCAGGCTGCGCTGCTCACACTGACAGAAGCGTTTCAGAATCCGACCATCCTCTCCTGCCTGGAAGTTCCCTATGGGCAGCAGGATCAATGAGACAATCAGAAACTGGATCAGAAAGAGAATCGTCCCCGTCTCCCTGTATGCATCAGACCCTGGCCACCATCACCTTGCCTCACCCTCCTGCAGTCCCTCCCTGCGACTCTCAAAATTGTGGCCAGGGGTGGAGAGGAAAGGACCTCTTTCTGTGCTCTGCTGCTTAACCGAAGCCCTGTTCATAGCACAGGGATTTATAATTTGGGATTGTGCGCTCATGATCGCCTGTGAGAACTTCGTGAGATCTGAGTGGACAGCAGGACTCTGCAGAGAGGATCTGCATTTGCTTCTGCCTAAAGTCCCCAGGTGCTAACAACCACGGCCTATTTAAGTGAATTTATAAATCTCGCACTTCCTGGACCATGCAGATAATTAGTGTAGATTAGAATTCCAATTTCTTATTGTGGCAGACTGTATTCTCAGAGTATATTTTCCAAAGATGTCTACTGTATTTCCTGTCCCACATGCTCTTTTAGAATTTTCCCACCAAGAAGTAGAGTCTAATTTCTCTGTCTTTGGATTTGGGAGGGCTTATGGCAGAAGTGACACTGTGTGACTTCAAAGTCTAGGTCATAGAAGACGATATAGCTTCTTCTTTGTTGGCAGAGACACTTGCCCGTGCAGTCCTGAGCTGCCATGTATGAAATCTGATTAGTCTAAGGCCACCATACTGCAAGGAAGCCCAAGCAACTACATGGAGGAGCCAGTAGTGTGCTAGGCATTGTGCTACCATGTGCTGGAGACATTTGCTATCTCCTAGGGAAAAGCCATTATAGCTGCTATTTATTGAGGGCCTACTTTGCTCTGGACACAGGGTGAGGACAGGGAACGATAATTTCCATTTATACGGGGCCAGTGTCTCAGTTTCAATATACATTTTCATTTTAACTCTTTAGTTAACCCTGCAAGGGAGATGAGATTGTCTCCATATTAACAGATGGGGTGGTTGAGACCTGTCTGTCCCCACAGTTGAAGCTCGCCCCTCTCCACCAGAATAACAGGGAATAGCCCTCCGCCCTGAAATACGAACGGCCAGGCCTGGGCACTGTCCATCACAGCACTCTAAGGTAGGGACTGTCACCAAGCATCTTACGGGTGGGGAAACAAAACTACAGAGAGCAGCCCTTTTCCTAGCCCTGGTTTCTCTGCCCAGCCCCGTCCACCACGAGCCCCACTCTCACCGGCGTGTCCAGAGAGCTGGACCCAAGGGTAGTGTTTTCGGAAGGAGACCACGAAGGGCGAATACTTCAGAACAGTCTTCAGCTTCTTCCATGGTTTGCTCTGTGTGGGGCAGAGCAGGGTGGGGTCAGAGCCAAGGCCAGGGAGGGAAGGAGACGGGGGTGCTGCCATGAAAGGAAATGAAGGTGGAACTGGGGTCTTTCCAGGGCCAGGGGGGCTGCCTGGGATCACTGTTCCCAAGCTGGTTTGGGTGAGAGAGCCCCACTCACTTCAGCAATCATGAGAGCCCCCAAAGGCCTCAGCACAGGTGGGGAAGGTCTCTGTCCATTTCTCCCTCTCTCCATCATCACTTCCTTGGTATGTGTCTCTCTGGCTTTCCCTTACAGGTAAGGACAGGCCAGGTTTGGTTGTGGTAACAGCCCCCAAAGTTCCCCCGCACATACACACTCCCCAAACTTGGAGTCCCCATCTGTGCCCCCAACCCAGGTCAGATCTTCTGGGGAAAATGATGGATGAAGGCTGACCACAGAGAGAGAAACAAACAGAGACAGATGGCAAAGTGACAACAAAGGCAGGAACAGAGACAGAGACTGTGGCAGTGATGAGAGCTGTTCAGCACATGGCTCCAACTCCTCCACCTTCCATAGGTGGGAGTGTGAGGAGAAACGGAAGCTCCCGCAGCCTGGGCCCTGCGCAAAGGCAGCCTGGAGCAGAGACCCTCACCCACCACTGACCTATGGCCAATGTGTAGTGGGAACCAAAGTAATTCTTTGTGTTGTAAGTCTCTAAGATCTGGAGGTTGCTTGTTACCACAGCAAATCCTAGCCTACCCTGACTAATAGAGATAGGCATAGAGTTGCTAAAAAAGAAAGACAGAGGCCCGGCGCGGTGCCTCACGCCTGTAATCCTAGCACTCTGGGAGGCCGAGGCAGGTGGATTGCTCGAGGTCAGGAGTTCGAAACCAGCCTGAGCAAGAGTGAGACCCCATCTCTACTATAAATAGAAACAAATTAATTGGCTAACTAATATATATAGAAAAATTAGCCGGGCATGGTGGCGCATGCCTGTAGTCCCAGCTACTTGGGAGGCTGAGGCAGGAGGATTGCTTGAGCCCAGGAGTTTGAGGTTGCTGTGAGCTAGGCTGACGCCATAGCCACTCACTCTAGCCTGGGCAACAAAGCGAGACTCTGTCTCAAAAAAAAAAAAAAAACAAAAAGAAGACAGAAAGAGAGACATAGATAAAAGGTAATGACAAAAACAAAAAGATGAATAGAGGCAGAGAAAGAGAGAGAGAGAGAAAGCAATAGAATACCAGAGAAGCAAACAGAAAACAGAGATTTAGTTGCCCCATGCTGACTCAACCAAGAGCTTAAGACATGGTTAGTGTTTGATTCATGAACACACAAACACACAGCACACACAAGTATAGCAAGTATTGGAGAGTGGGGTCACTGCCAGAGAAGGAAGCTGTGTGGCTCATCCCTCTCCCACCTAGGGTCAAGGGCACATTCTTTCCTACCCCCTCAGAGCCCTGCTACCTAGCAGACATCTGACACTGGGAAGGCTAACAGGGAGTCAGAGTATTAGAATTCAGGATTCAGGAAAGGCTAGTCCGTCCCTGTCACAGCTGCCAGACGTGGGGAAGAGGTGATTAATAAAAGTTCCTGTTTACTAATCACCTGGAACATTCCAGGCACAATGACAAAGTCTCAGTGTGCCATAACCTACTTAATCTGAAAACCACAACCCCAGGAAAATTGTTGTCTCTGTGTTACAGAGGAGGAAATGGGCTCAGAGAGGTGAACCCACTTGCTTAACATCACACAGCACAGTGCTGGGGTTCTAGCTCGGTCTGATCCCACTGCCTTGGGGCTTACCCACTATACTCCTGCTGGACTACAAGCTTATGAGGGCAGGGACTGGGGCTGTCATGGTCACAACTCTGTCCCCAGAACATGGCCGGGCACACACAATAAGAGCTCCAAAAATGTTTCCTGGATTGAAGGAAGTTAGTTGAGACTTTTTTTTTTGAGACAGAGTCTCGCTTTGTTGCCCAGGCTAGAGTGAGTGCCGTGGCGTCAGCCTAGCTCACAGCAACCTCAAACTCCTGGGCTCAAGCAATCCTGCTGCCTCAGCCTCCCGAGTAGCTGGGACTACAGGCATGCGCCACCATGCCCGGCTAATTTTTTCCATATATATTAGTTGGCCAATTAATTTGTTTCTATTTATAGTAGAGACGGGGTCTCGCTCTTGCTCAGGCTGGTTTCGAACTCCTGACTTCAAGCAATCCACCTGCCTCGGCCTCCCAGAGTGCTAGGATTATAGGCGTGAGCCACCACGCCCAGCCGAGACTTTTTTTTTTTAATCATAAATAGATTTATTATTATTTTTTTCTCTCTCTCTCTCCTTTATATTAGATCCAAAAGTTCATCTGGGCTTTCTCATGGTTTCATGATGTTCTCAGCTCTCATGCCCTCTCCTCCAGGAAGCCCTCTTTGATACCCCAAGTCTGGCCAGTCGCCTGTCTGCGTTCTACAACCTGCTGGGGTTCCCCTATCCCAGCTCTGACCACTCCAAGCTGTCACTGTCTTGCCTAGCCCTGACCACTCAGAGCTCCCCCACTGGTCTAGGAGCCCCATTAGTGTCCTGGTCACTGCTGTGTTCCCAGCAGAGCCGACACAGCGCCAGATAAATAGTAGGAACTCAGGGACTGACTGTTGTCTGATCAGAACAGGATGGTGGGAGGAAGGAAGGAAGGAGGAAAGGAAGGAGGGAAGTGGAGCCTTTAAGGTCAAGTGGGATTTGGAATTAAGGGAGGAGGACGCAAGGGTATTCCAGGCAGTGGGAACAGCTTGAGCACCGTGTGGCGGCCGGACGACAGCAGGGTATTCAAGGAACGGCATGTACTCAGGCTCGGTTACGGCAGAGGGTCACACAGAGAGAAGGAAGCCAAACCCGGGAAGAGGCCTGAAGGCAGGAAGCTCTGAAAGCAGCACCGACTCCTGATCGCTGTTGGGGAGGCCCTGGGAAGCCATGGAAGGCACCTGAGCAGGGAAAGCGTCTGATCAGAGCTGGGCCGCTGAGGATAACTGGAGCTAGGGAGGCCTGGGAGGGAGGCAAGGTAGGGACGGATCCACGCACCACAGGGGAAAAAGGATGGGTTTGGAACTCAGCCAGCACTGAGTTAGAACCCTTGCTCTGACTTGACTTGGCCAACCCCAGTGACCTCACCTCTCTATGCCTCAGTTTCCTCATCTGTAAAATGGAGATAATAATAAGCCCAATCTCATAGTGCTGTTCTAAGGATTCAAAGAATTAACACTTTTAAAGCCCTTAGAATAGTGCCCAGCATACAGTAACGGTTTGCATCTCTGTGTTTTCCAAGGTGTGTGACCTTGGACAAGTGACTTGGCCTCTCTGTGCCTCAGTCTTCTCATCTGTAAAAGAGGATAATAATAATATCTACCTTGGCCGCGCACAGTGGCTCATGCCTGTAAGCTCATCACTTTGGGAGGCCGAGGCAGGAGGATCGCTTAAGACCAGGAGTTGGAGGCAACATAGTGAGACCCTATCTCTACAAAAAGTTTAAAAAATAGCAGGGTGTGGTGGCATGCACTTGTACTCCCAGCTACTTGGGAGGCTGAGGCAGGAGGATCCCTTGAGCCCAGGAGTTGGAGGGTGCAGTGAGCTATGATCGCACCTCTGCACTCCAGCCTGGGTAACAGAGCAAGATCCTGTCTCTAAAAGAAATAAAAATAAATTTAAAAAATAGTAACTGACCTCACAGGGCTGCTATGAGGAGTAAATGGGTTAATAAGAGCAAAGAGCTTACTTAACACAGGGCTGGACATGAGTGTGTGCTAGCTGTTGTTATTATTATTATTCACCCACTTCCAGCTCAGCCGTTCTGAGATGCCAAGGAGGTGCAGAGCAGGCAGAGAGAGAAGCAATGGCAGAAGGTGCTGGAAGGTCAGCTCCTTTGCACGGGCACAGGCACGTCGAGGCAGGTCTGCCTCTCACAGCTGTGGCCACATGTGTGAACACGTCCCTAAGAAAGGCATGTGGGGTGAGGGAACGGAACAGTCTCAGAACAGATTCCAGCCAGCCACCCCCACTCCCTGGCTGATGGACTCCGCTCCCAGCCCCACGTGAGGTCTCTGGTTTCACACCTGCCTCTGCTCTGACCCTCCCTCCCTGAACCTGCCCTGCCAGCCCTCCTGATTCACCAGGGGAGAACCGCACCCAAGCTGGGGCTGAGGGTGGACAATGTAAACAAGAGTCTGCAGGAAGCCCTTTGGGGACCTGAGGGACAGAGGGGAGACCAGGCGGACCCCTTGCTAGGCCGAGGATCCTTTAGCGTTTGGGGTTCCCACAGCCCTTTAGCAATCTGACGAAAGCTGGGGGCTCACTTCACTCCCTAAAAGAATGTACAAACGGCCTAAAGGGTGGTGAAGGTTCATGACCCTTTAAGGCAGCCACAGGCCCCAGACTAAGAAATTTGGGGTAGAAAGTGCACCTTTCCTGTCCAGTGGTCCTCAGACTCTGTGGTCACAGACTCTCCAGGGGTTCAAAAGAAGTCATAGACCTTTGCTACAAGAATATGTGGGTACACACGCACAGACTCACTCAGCTGTACAATTTCAGGGGTTCCTGGGCCCCATCAAGTCGGTCAGTGGCCTTCCATTATAGACCCCAGGACTGGAGGCAGAGGCAGAAGGGGAACGGGGAGAATTAGGAGGGGCTGCCTGGAGTGGGTTAGTAACCCGGCTACTGTCGGAGGGAAGGGGCCAGTGGATGGAAGAGGTGCCTGGAGATGACATTGCTGGTCGGTAACTCCCAGGACACTGGTAGACAACTTCTCAAGCAGAGTCAGGGGGCTAAGGGGTTTGGGGGGTGTGGCTCAAGGGCAGGATGGGTCCCACTCACCCCAGACCTGTCCTCAGGATCGCTGGCACCTCCGCCCCCGGCCACCACATCATCCTCCGACTCGTCGAAAGAGGAGGCAGAGGAAAAGCCACCACTGCCTCCCTCGACCCTGGAGGGGAGTCCCACTGGCTGGGCCTCAGGCTCAGGAGTCTCAGGGGTGATGATGAGGCGGGGCACGGGGCACAGGGGGCTACACTTCAGGTGAGAGGACAGATGAGTCAACAACTCCTCAGGTTCTGGTTCCTCTAATTGGCCATCATCAGGCTCTCCCAAAAGGCAGTCTGTCCCAGGTGCTGTGTGGGGACCATCAGTGCCAGGCTGTGTCCGGGAGCCATCAGTATCTTGTATTGGGAAACTACTTGTGTCAGGCTGTTTCCTGGCTGTTTCAGTATCCTGTCGTGTCTTGGAGCCATCAATGTGTACCTCAGTCCAGGGATCTTCAGTATCCTGTTGTGTCCTGGAGCCATCAGTGTACAATTCTTTCCAAGAGCCATCCGCACTTGGCTCTGTTGAGGGACAGGCTCCCTCTGGGTGAGTCCGGAGGTTGGACCTGCTCTGGCGGGTCCAGAGGTTATTGACCCAGGGCTTGACCCATTCTGGCTGAGTTTGTGACCCATGTGTTTCTAGCTCTATCCAGGGCCCATCAATTCCTGGCTGTGTCCAGAGGCTGGCCCTCTCTAGCTGCGACTGGAGGTCTGACCTGTGCAGATCAGTCCCAAAGCCATCTGTCTCAGTCTCCGTCCAGCGACTGGTCGTCTCCAACTGTGACCAGCTCCTTTCTGGATGTATCTGGAGGTTGGACCTGTCTGGCTCCGTCTTTTGACTGGGCCTCTCCGTCTCTGCTCCGAGGCCAGCTGCTTCGGGCTCAGTCTGTCCGTCTGTCCAGAATTCTGTCTGTGGACCATCTGTCCACGGATCAGGCCCGAGGCCGGCCTTCTCGGGCTCGGTGTGGAGGCTGGACCCCGCAGTCCGGGCCCAGGGCCCGCCCCACTCCGGCCGCCCCGCCAGGCCCCCTGCGCCGGGCCCAGGTCGCTGCTGTCCCGGCTGCCGCCGCCGTCCTCCTCGCGGCGCCTCCAACCCCATGCGGGCTGCCACGGGCAGCGCCCGGGCCTCCGCCTCACTCAGGCTCCCCCGGCACGGGCAGCGCCTCATGCCCGCTCCTTCGGTTCAGGCTTCGGCCGACCCGGCCTCTCCTACCCCTTTAAATCCTGCGAGGGGTGTGGCTGGCCAGCCCCAACTCCCGGGTTCCGGCCAGCCGAGCTCCAGCCGGCCCCGCCAGGCAAGGGTTAACCGATACTCTCCCCACCTCCCCGGGACAGCCCCGAAGGCCCGCCCACACAGGACGTGACGTAACGGGGCGGAGCCGGACCGGTCCCTGTCTGACTCCGCCCCTCGCCGTGGCAGCGGGCATCCCCCGAGCGCCGGAAACTCCGACGCGTTTGGTCGGGAGCGCTGTGGTCCTGATGGCGCACCAGTGGGGCCCCTCCTTACTCCCCCTGTGACTAATCCAACCTTCCTTTACCCTCAAGTGACCATTTCAGCCTCCCTAAAACTCCCAGTGACGAGTTCAGCCCGCGCCCATTCTTTACCCAGGGGCGGGACAGACTGAAAGACTTGGAAATCCCACAGGTGTGGGTTCAAGACCTGTGTCTGCCGCATCGCAGCTGAGTTACCTTGAGAGAATGACTTCCGCTGCATTGAAGTTTCCATAAGAAATCTCTCATACATAGAGCACTTGTTCCGGACCAGGCCCTGACACCGTTTCAATGCTTCACTTTCTCACTAACGCTGAGCGATAAGGGATGCCATGGCCCCGTTTACACAGGAGGACACTGAGGCTCAGAAGTCTGCCAGCCTCTACCTCTTGACTGTAGCCAGGGGGCTGTTTGATATGACCTCATGATATGTGAAGTGTGTGACACCAGGCCTGGCATTGTTAGCCGTAGCCCTGTAGGTTTAGTTATCGTCATAGGTGCTTTTTATATGTTTTGCCCCCGAGGGTGAGCTGCCACCCAGCTCCTGAGTCAGACCTTCACGTCTGGAGGGGCATAGGGGGTGGTTTCTATCTTGATATTGAGTCACCTGGTGGAGGGACACTGGGCATAGGTCCAAGGCTCTAAAATGAGTCATCTCTTTACATACCAATGAGAAATCAGAGGCAGGGGCCCACCTGGTGCATCATGTAGGTTGGTAAGCAGAGGTCCATTTGAGTGAGGGACGAGGGCTCTTCTGAGGTAACACAGTACAGGGATAGAGACAGAAAGGCCTGATTCCCGACAAGGGGGATAGGACGGGGGCAGCGGGGTTCTGTGGGGGAAGCATCTTCATCGCTCCCTCTCCCAGTGGTGGGAGAGGTGCCCCAACCAGCTGCTTCTATTCCAGACTGTGAGAAGAGGGGTGAGTCAGCCTGTTCCAACACATACATACACACACAGATGGGCTGGGAGCTAGTTTTCTGGGTTGCCAAGTTTCCTGACTCAGCACTGGGAATCTTGGCTGGGTGTGTTCTGGGAAATGTCAGGCTTACAGGAAACTGAGGGCTCCCACTCCCGCCATCCCGCAGGTGGGTGGGGAGCAGAGAGAGCAGGGTGAGTGAGGGAACAGAGAGGCTCTGTGTGCAAGTGAGGGGGGTTTGTGTACACGGGAGAGTTGAAGGTGTGAGCAGGAGACAGTCGGGGAGCAGAGCAAGGGGTTTATAGGCACAAGGAAGGAGGTTGCGTGCATAGATGTGAGTGTTTGTGCAAAGCGGGGGAGCCCATGTGCAAGGGAAATGTTTGCTGGGAAGAATGTGTGTTCAAAGGAGAGATGTTGGGCCTACCAGGGGTAAAAATAGGAAGGAAGGTTGGCAAGATGTTGGTGCAGATTCTGGTGTGAAGTTCGTAAGGGATTGATGTTAGTAAGGACAGTGTGGAGAACAGAAAGGCCTGCCGCGTACAAGGCACTTTGAGGTGAGTGAAAGGGTATAGTGGGCACGCGTGAGCTTCCACGGTACCCAGCATTCCCGGACTCCCGCCCTTGTGCCCAGATCCAGCACCTCGGCCCCGCCCCTGGCTCCGCCCCCCGCACACAGCGGGGCGCGCTTCGTGCCAGTCAGCGGAGCGCTGCTCCACCATTGGCTAGCTGACCGGAGGGGGCGGGTATGCAGAGGCTCCCGGAAACACCGGAGGCCCCCGCGCGTTGGGACTCGGAGCTCGAGAGCAGTGGGTGCTTAGCAACGAGAGGAGGTGCCCAGTAACGGGATTGGGGGACACCAGGAGGAATTATGAGTGCCTAGCAAGAGAGGACGGGAGTGCCCAGCAACGGGGGTGGTGTGTTTCAGAAAAGTGGAGCGGTAGCCCCGGAGGATCTGTGGGTGTCTAGTAACGAGGGAGGACCCTAGCAACGGCGAGGGGTGGGAGAAGGGGAAAGTGGGTTTTGGGAGGCGCGCAGGAAGAGCTGTGTGTTCCTAGCAACGAGGTGGGAACCAAGAGACACTGCAGGAGTCTATTAACAGGGGATGAAGTCTTTAGTGGGTGGTAAAGCTTAGAGAGTGGACACAGGGAAATGTGTGGGCCCCGCAAAGAAGAAGAGGAAAGCAGGGAGGCCAGTCCTGCAACTCCTACCTAAATAATCCCTCCTCTTCTCCCCCAGGCGATGTGGCTGAAGGTGGGGGGCCTACTGCGGGGGACCCGTGGACAGCAGGGCCAGATTGTTGGACTGCCTTGTGGGACCCTGGGGCCTGGGGCCCACTGGTGGGTAAGAGGTTGGGGTGACTGCAAGGGGTAAAAGGACAGGGAAGGATCCAAAAGGACTAGGCAGACCCTATGTTCTCCACTCCTTACCAGAGTCCATGTCTCTTGCAGGGGCCGTGTGGGGGTTCTTGGGCCCAAAAGTTTCATCAGGATGGGCCTGGAAGAGGCCTGGGTGAGGAGGATATTCGCAGGGCACGGGAGACCCGTCTCAGCAAGACACCCCGGCCCCAGGTATCATTGCCCTCACCTACCCAGCAACACCCCTTGAAGGCTGCTGGCCCCCAGAGCTTGGGGAAGGGAGGGGTGGCAGGTTGGTTGGACTCCCTGAGCACTATGCCCACCTTCCTGCCCTCAAACCTTCTCCCTGTTTCCCAGCTGAGTGACCGTTCTCGAGAACGCAAGGTACCTGCCTCCCGCATCAGCCGCTTGGCCAACTTTGGGGGTAGGTGTGACTTTGGAGGATCTAGATGTAACTCAGATTAGAGGAGGCAACACTTACAAAATGAAGCAAGAGAGAGGATGAATTAGAGACAGAGACAGGAAGGAGAGACATCGAAAAAGAGATGAAGACCCTGAGAACCTACAATGGTCCTGGCCCCATACATGCATGCACTGGCTGCACCAAATAAATGAATGTTTATTTCCATTCTGTAGATGAGGAAATAGAAACTAAGAAAGGTGAGGCAACTTGACTCTGGATTATGCAGCTGGACGATTCAAATTTCACAACTTGCATGAAATAATTTAGTGGATTGCAACCAGCATTAATGAAGAAGAAAATACAAAATATCAGTATACCTGTACAGCAAGGGAAAGTCTTGTTTCATGAACCTTGTTTCATGAACCTTGATCTGTGCCAGTTATAATGGAACCGTCTTCTTTACTGTGGATCATGGTTCAAGTTGTTTTTTTGTTTGTTTTTTTTTTTGAGACAGAGTCTCACTCTTTTGCCTAGGCTAGAGTGAGTGCTGTGGCGTCAGTCTAGCTCACAGCAACCTCAAGTTTTTGGACAGAGTACCGCTTTTTGCCAGCTAGAGTGAAGTGGCCGTGGCGTCAGCCTTCGCCAGCAACCCAACTCCTGGTTCAGACCTGCTGCCTCGCGCCTCCGGGTAGCTGATGCAGGCACGCGCCACCCGCTCGGTTATTTTTTCTATATATAGTTGCCAATTAATTTCTTTGTTTTATGTAGAGCGGGGTCTCGCTCTTGCTCAGGTGTCGACTCCTTGACTTCAAGCATCCACTGCTGCTCCGAGTTGCTCGGGTATGGCGTGGCCGCGCCAAGGCCGGGACCCTTTTTTTTTAATCATTAAATGTTCTTTATTCTTTTTTTTTCTCTCTCTCCTTTTATTAGATCCAGTCATCTGGGGCTTTCTCATGATTTCATGTTGTCTCAGCTCTCATGGCCTCTCCTTCCAGGAAGCCTTCTTTGATACCCCAGTCTGCCATGGTGTCTGCGTTCTAAACCTGCTGGTCCCCTAATCCCAGCTCTGCCACTCAAGCTTCACTGTCTGTGCGTAGCCCTGACCACTCAGAGCTCCCCCACTGGTCTGGAGGCCATTAGTGTCCTGGTCACTGCTGTGTTCCCAGCAGGAGCCGCCAGCGGCCAATAATAGTGTAGGAACTCAGGGATGACGTGTCTGTCCGAACAGGATGGTGGGAGGAAGGAGAAGGGAAAGAAGGAATGGAGCCTTTGAACGTCAAGTGGGATTTGGAATTAGGAGAGAGGACGCAAAGGTATTCAGGTGGGGAACGTTGAGCACCGTGTGGCGGCCCGGACGACAGCAGTATTCAAGAACGGCTGTACTTCAGGCTCGGCTACGGCGGGTCACACAGAGAGGAGCACCCCGGAAGAGGCCTGAGCAGGAAGCTCTGAAGGCAGCATCCGATCCTGATCGCTGTGGGAGCCTGGCGAAGCATGGGAAGGCACCTGACAGGAGCGTCTGATCAGAGCTGGGCCGCTTGAGGAACTGGAGTAGGGATGGCCTGGGAGGGAGCAGGTAGTGCCGGAATCCACGCACCACAGGGAAAAGGATGGGTTGGAACTCAGCAGCACTGAGTTAGAACCTTGCTCCTGACTTGATGGCAAACCCCAGTTACCTCACCTCTCTATGCCTCAGTTTCCTGCATCTGTAAAATGGGATATAATAAGCCCATCTGCATGTGCGTTCTAAGGATTCAAGAATTAGAACCCTTTTAAAGCCCTTGATAGTGGCCTAGCATACAGTAACGGTTTGCGCATCTCTGTGTTTTCCAGGTGTGTTGCTTGACAATGATTGGCCTCTCTGTGCCTCAGTCTTCTTGCTGTAAGGGATAATATAATATCTACTGGCCGCGCACAGTGGCTCATGCTGTGTAGTCATCACTTTGGGATGGCGAGCAGAGGTCGTTAAGACAGGGTGGAGGCCAATAGTGAGACCCTATCGTCTACAAAATGTTTAAATGCAGGACGTGTGCATGCACTTGTATCCCCAGCTATTGGAGCTGAGGCAGGAGGATCCTTGGCCCAAGGAGGTGGAGGTGCGTGAGTATATGATCGCACCTCTGCCACTCCAGCCTGGGTAAGCAGAGCAAGGATCCTTGTCTCAGAATAAGAATAATTTAACAATAGTAACTGACCCACAGGCGCTATGAGGGAGTATAAAATGGGTTAGTAGAGGCAAAGAGCTTACTGTACGACAGGGCTGGACATGAGTGTGTGGCTAGCTGTTGTTGTTATTATTTTCCCCACTTCCAGCACCTTCTGAGTGCCAGGCGGTGCAGAGCAGCAAGAAGAGAAACAATGGCAGAAGTGCTGGAAGGTAGTCTTTGCACGGGCACATGCACGTCGGAGGCAGGTGCCTTCTCACAGCTGTGCCACATGTAGACAACGGTCCCTAGAAAGGCTGTTGGGTAGGACGGAAGGCGGGTGCTCGACAGTTCCGCCAGCCACGCCACGTCCTGGATGGTGGATCCGTCAGCCCACGGGGTCTTGGTTTCAACAACTGTCTTGCTCTGACCTCCCTCCTGAACCTGCCCTGCAGCCTCCTGATTTCACCAGGGGGGAACCGCACCAAGCTGGGCGAGGGGTGGACAATGTAGACAAGAGTCTGCGGGAAGCCTATTGGACTGGAAGGGACAGAGGAACCAGCGGACCCTGCTAGGCCGAGGATCGTTTAGGTTTGGGGTTCCACGCCTTTAGCATCTGACGACAGCTGGGGGCTCATCACTCCTAAAGAATGTACAACGCCTAAAGGGTGGTGAAGGTTCCGATGACCTTTAAGGCAGCCACAGGCCCAGGACTAAGAAATTTGGCGGAGGTAGAAAGAGCACTTTTCCTGTCAGTGTCCTCAGACTTGGGATCCAGATCGAGGGGTTCAAAAGGATCATAGACGTTTGCTACAAGATTGGTGGGTCAGCCGCACAGGACTCACTGCGCTGTACTTTGCAGGGGTATTCCTGGGCGCCCATCAGAGTCGGTCAGTGGCCATTCCATTATAGAGCCCCAGGACGGAGGCAAGAGGGCCAGAAGGGAAACGGGAGATTAAGGAGGGGCTTCCTGGGGTGGTTAGTAACGCCGGTATGTCGAGGGGGAAGGCAGGGGAGAAAGTGCCGGGAGATGACGTTGGTGGTCGTACTCCAGGACACGGAAGAAACTTCTCAATCAGATAGGGCTAAGGGGTTTGGGGGGTGTGGCTCAAGGGCAGGATGGTCCCAGCTGCACCGCAGAGCCTGTCCTCAGGGATCGCTGGCCTCCGCCCGTCCAATAGCCTCAGTCGGGTCGAAAGAGGGAGGCGAGGAAAAGCCGACACTGCCCCCTCGACCCTGGGGGAGTCCACTGGCTGGGCTCAGTCAGGGTCTCAGGGGTGATGATGACGGCGGGGCACGGGGCACAGGGGGCTACACTTCAGGTGAGGGACAGATGAGCAACAACTCCTCAGGTTTGGGTCCTCTAATGGCCATCTCAGGCTCTCCAAAAGGCATCTTTCCAGGTGCTGTGTGGGGGACCATCAGTGCCAGGCTGTGTCGGGGCATCAGATATTTGTTGTATTGGAAACTACTGTGTCAGGCTGTTTCCTGCTGTTTCAGTATCCTGTGTGTCTTGGAGCCATCGATGTGTACCTCAGTCCAGGGTCTTCGAGTATCTGTTGTGTCCTGAGCCTCAGTGTACAATTCTTTCCAAGAGCCATGGCACTTGGCTCTGTTGAGGACGGCTGCCTCTGGTTGGTCCGGAGGTTGACCTGCTCTGGCGTCCATGGGTTTTGACAAGGCTTGCCATTCTGGCTGCAGTTTGTGACCATGTGTTGTAGGCTCTTCCAGGGCATCATCCCGGCTGTGTCCAGAGGCTGGCCCTCTCTAGCTGCGAATGAGTCTGACCTGTGCAGTCGTCCAAAGCCATCTTCTCAGTCTCACGTCCAGCGACTGGTCGTCTCCAACTGTGACCCGCTCCTTTCTGGATGTTCTGGAGGTTGGACTGTCTGCGGTCCGTTCTTTATTGACTGGCCTCTCCGTCTCTGCTCCGTGTGCGTTCGGGCTCATCTGTCCGTCTGTCCAGAATTCTGGTCGTGGACCCTCTGTCACGGTCAGGGCCCTGAGGCGGCCTTCTAGGGCTCGGTGTCGGAGCGGACCCCGCAGTCCGGGCAGGGCCCCGCCCACTCCGGCCGCCCCGCCGCCCCTGCGCAGGCCAGCGCTGCCTGTCCGGCTGCCGCCGCGCCCTCATCGCGGCGCCTCCCACCCTGGCGCTGCACGGGCAGGCCGGCCTCCGCTCTCAGCTCCACGGCACGGGCAGGCGCTCATGCCCGCTCCTTCGTTGTTCGCCTGTTTGGTTCTATCTTTTTTTTGTTTATGGGTTCTGTCTGCTCCTCTCTTGGTTGTTTTTATGCGAGCTCGTGTCCTGCCAGAGTGGTTATTCGACTTCTTCCCGGCAGCCCTGAAGGCCCGCCACACGGCGTGGACTAACGGGGCGGACGCGACGGCCCTGTGTGACTCCGCCCCTGCGTGGAGCGGCATCCCCCGAGCGCCGAAACATCCGACGCGGTTGGTTCGGGAGCGCTGTGCTCCTGATGGCGCACCAGTGGGCCCCTCCTTTATCCCCTTGACTAATCAACCTCCTGTTACCCTCAGTGACCTTTCAGCCTCCCTAAACTCCAGGACGAGTTCAGCCGCTGCCTTTACCAGGGGCTGGGACGACTTGAAAGACTTGGAAATCCACAGTGTGGGTTCAGACCTGGTCTGCCGCATCGCAGCGAGTATAGCCTGATGAGGAATGATTCCGCTGCTTGAATTTCATAAGAATCTCTCATACATAGCAGCCTTGTTCGGACCAGGCCTGACACCGTTTCAATGGCTTCACTTTCTATACGCCTGAGCGATAAGGACTGCCATGCCCGTTTACACATGAGGACATGAGGCTCGAAGTCTGCAGCCTCTAACCTCTGCTGTGCCGGGGGCTGTTTGATATGACTC